GCACACACAAACCCCGTCAACAATCAAGGGGGAAGTTCTTGCATGGCAAAACATATTTTGCATAAAATGTGAAACATGACTGAAAGGAACACGCTAATTGCAATTTAATGGGTATGGCATACTGATTCTTAATCCCAAAAACATCTCCTTATTACTACTATCCAAATATATGGCCATGTTGCGGATATCACCATACAAATTTTTGCCTATTGTGAAGAGAAAAATGGTGCCCCTGGACAAAGTCTAGTGCTATTTTTACTCCCTAACCTGATTTCCTGCGAGCACAGGTACACACGATTATTGTGCACACATGTATATTATGGGATGTTTTGTCTGTACATGTATTTATAAATAGAACCTAGACGGGGTAGTGTTTTAGATAACAGCATTTGTTTACAGACAGCTCAGTGATCAAGGACATTACGTGTTTCGGGTAGCTATGTATGCGAGTTGTGTTTAGCCGGTCTTGCATGCAATGGACACAGGTATACTACAAATAGCAATAACAGACTTGTTTTCCAATTGGTACCATACAGTGAACATTATTGATATGTGCAATTTTTAATACATTCTTATATTCATTGCTAAAATTCCTGATAACTAAATTTCGTTGGTCCTTGTGTCCGTTTTAGTTGAGGAACCGAAGCATGTAGAAAAGAAACATTTGTAAAATAGGGCGTATTTAAAACTTCGGTAGCACAAAGCAGAAGGCCAAACAATGCATTTTTTTTTTTTTATTTAAATTAAAATTCTTTTCTATAAAATTACAGATGTATGTCGATTAGGATTAGAAAGTCAAATATAAGGTTTGCTTTGTTGAACGTCACGTTTTAATCCGTCACTGAATTCATACTCAGTTCGATTGTGCGGATTTACCGATTTGTCTATGTTTAGTGTAATATTTCAGTGTTAAAACCCGACTAGTATGTCTTTGACAAGGCTGAAGTACCCGTGTAGCAGTAGTAAATGTGATACTTCAGGAGTACGTGTATGGGGTTAATTAGTATGTGTAATTTTCAAGGATGTACGTATACACTCAACTCCCGTGATAAATGTCACTTTTCAGCCAAACTATTTCCGGCTAATAGTTTCACAAATGGGCTAGTAACACTGTTCTTGATATACGATTACCGAATCGCTCTTGTCCTTATCTATTTCGAAGAACATGCGTATAAAATACCTTAATGGCAAGGAATATTGGCAGAGCGTAAAGGGTGGTGCACCGCAAAGAAATGCGTAAGGCTACGGTTTACTCCTGGTATAGATCAATAAACTATCCAAGTTAGCAGGGTCAGTTACTAATTCCTGTAGGAACTCAATCTAAATCAGAGATTCGTTATAAATCTCTCTGATTTAGAGTTCCTACAGGTATTGGGTCAGTTACCAGTTGAAAGATGAGAATTGAGGATGTCATGGTTAATGATCACAAAAAAAAGCAGCAAAGTCGGAGATTAAGAAACGAATACACCTGCTGTTAATATAACGTCTGCATGTCGTAAGAGGCGACTAGTGTGCGAACCCCCTGCAGAATTGGGGATTTGCTTTCGTGTCCTCTACATGGAGACAAAAATGCGACCAGGGTAACTTTGCTGCAGTCATTGTATCATTTTGGATCTTTGTATTTCTCTTTACTTCTTTCAACTACCCTTTTGTTTTCTATCACCTGTTCTTGGCAATACCGCACTTTTGGCTTTAGTGTTGAACGTCCGCAAAAGGGAAGAAGGCAATGAGTTCTGTCTCCAAGCCATAACATTCCAGTCTCCTGAAAAAAAAGTTAATTGCTCTCCAAGTCAGAAACATAAGGGTTCTTCAAGAGAAGTTGTTCAATGACCCTAGTGATCTTAACTATATACAGTGGTAATTAAGTGGTGAAGGCGTCGGACATTGTTACCACTGGGTCGTGGGTTCGAGGTCTACTTGGGGCAGTTGATAGGTACTGCCCATAGGTCGGTGGTTTTTCTCCGGTAACTCTGGCTTTCCTCCACCACCAAAACCTGGCACGTTCTCAAATGGCCATTGCTGTTAATAGGACGTAAAACACAAACAAACCAAACCTTTTTGCAGAACTCTCTGGTAATAGGCTATACTTTGTAAGTCAAAAGATTTGACCCCGTTGACCTTGAAAATAGGTCAAGATAGTTTATTACCTACCTGTTGAATCTTGTTATACAAGCAATTTTCAGACCATGAAATACAACGTTCTGTATTGCACATGTGTAATACGGAATGTTGTATTTACCTACGAGCTGGACTACTTTTTATGGGAATCCCATTGCCATGGCAAACTGAAAGGTTCCCGGTATTTGCAAAAAATATCAAAGTTTATAAAATGTTTGTATCGATCTCTACCAAATACAAGTTATGTGATAAAAGCAAATCAGAAAGCACAAGTTTCTTGCGCGGACGAATATATCCGTCCGCGTAATAAACTCGTGCTTTCTGATTCGTTAGAAAAACACAAGTGTGTGGTCTTGCATATTTATTTCCCCACTTTTCGGAGTATTCCATTCCTGAAAGCTACTGGCAATATATCATATATTTGTATAACCGTATTTGATACCAGTTATCGTTCATAGTTCATATAGCGATGACGCCGATTGAAAGCTGTGAGCTTCTTGTGGCGCATTTGAATATATGTTAAAACACTTGTTAAAAACACCTTTCACTTCCGGTGCGTATAGATAGACCAACTAATGTCAGGAATAACAACTTGTGCGGAATTTTGTTGGGTGATCCGACCAGAATTTATTCAGTCTGTTCTTAAAAGTGTCCACAGTTGGAGAATTGACCACATTATCGGGTAGACTGTTACACACCTCTACAACTCTATTGCTATAAAGAAGTTATTGTATATGGCCTTATTTGTTCTCCTCTTGAACAGCTTTCTGCTATTTCCTTGTGTTCCAACGTGGCGCGCTCTTATAAACATTTTGTCCTGATCTACAATGTCAATTTCCTCCATAATTTTTGATAATTCGATCACATCCGCTCTGATACGTCTGTATTCTAGCGTTGGAAGCCCTAACTTAAGCAGTCTTTCGGGGTAGCTCAGGTCTTTGAGACATGGCACTAATCTGGTTGCACGACGTTGAACATTTTCCACTAGAATTTTGTCTTTTTTTCAAGTGCGGTGACCATGTGACCGTTGAATATTCCAAATGTGGTCTTACCAAGGATTTGTAGTGTTATAAACATGTTTTGGTCGATGAACGTAAATGTTCTAAATATTAGTCCCAAGTTCCTGTTGGCCTTTGATACTGCTTTTGATATTGTTCGTTGAACTTTTGTTGTCAATAATTACTCCGAGGTCTTTTTCATTTGTGACAGTCTTAATATTTGTAGTCGACTGAGCCAAGTGTTAGTCAAAATGCATACAGAGTCAAGATCCTTCTGTGGGCTATCACGATCCGAGTCACTTCCAACTTTCCTGTATATTTTGGAGTCGTCTGCAAATAGTTTGGTTGAGCTACTGATGTTGTTTGGAAAGTCATTGATGAAGATCAGAAACAGAATAGGTCCAATTACACTCCCCTGTGGGACCCCGCTGGTGACCTAGGTTTGTGATGATATAGAGCCATTGATGACGACTCGTTGTTTTAAGTTATGAAGAAATCCTTGTTTCCAATTTAGTACTGCACCTCCAACACCATATGATTTGAGTTTGTGTAAAAGTCTCCTATGGGAAACCTTGTCGAAGGCCTTGCAGTGGTCTAAGTAGATGATGTCAGTTGAATCTCCATTGTCTAAGGCCTCTGTCCAGTCCTCCAAACATTCTAGTAATTGAGTGGAACAAGATCTTCCTTTTCTGAATCCATGTTGGCAATTAATAAAAAAAAAAGTTGTTTCCCTCCATATGTTCAAGGAGTGCATCCCTTATTATCCGTTGCATGCTCTTGCTTGCTATGGGTGTTAAGCTAATTGGACGGTAGTTGTTAGCTTTCTTTTTTTTATCCATTTTTGAAGATTGGAGTAATGTAATTGTTGGCCAATGTCCATGGTGATGGGATAGTACCTTCGTCAAGAGATTTCCTGAATATTTTAGTAAGGGGCGTTTTTATCTCGGATGCCGTCTCGTAGTAAAGTTTTGGATGGAGTCCATCGGATCCAGGGCTTTTGTTTGGGTTGATTTTTTTAATGGCTTTCTCAACAAGATCCTCTGTGATATCTATAGAAGTATAGTAGTTGTTTAAGGTTTCTGCTGTTTCTTGGTCAGATGTCGTCAAACTACCATCAGATTTTTCTAGTGTGTTGATTCCTGATTTAGTGGTTGTTTTTGATCGCACATATTTCCAAAACTGTTTCGGATTATCTTTAATGTCGTCAGCTAGATTATGTTCATAAATTAATTTGGATTTCCTCAAACAAGCTGTGGCGTTGTTCCTTGCTACTCTAAATTTTACGTAGTTCTCTGGTGTTTTACAGTGTAAATATTTAGTCCAGGTTTGGTGTTTTTTCCGCACAGCTTGTAGTGCTAATGGGTCGAGTGGTCGTCGTTTAGACTTCACATTTGATGCCTTGTTCACCGGTATATGTTTTTGTATAATATCTTGTAATGTTACAACAAAGGCGTTCCATGTGTCGTCCAAATTATCCAAATTGTCTAGCTGGTCCCAGTTGACTAATTTAAGGTCCTCACAGATAACTGGGTAGTTTCCTCTGTGATAGTTAATGTTGTCTTTCCTTTTGGTTTCTTTAGTTTCAATGTAGCACATTTAGTTAATACCTAGCATGCAAGTCAAAGCCTATTTTCCCACACACCCTGTAACATTCTATGCTAGGAAGCTTATGGCAATATACTACGATTAAATGCCTTTTGGTTCTTGAAGAAGCTTTTCTAGTGTTTTAACACTTCGGCATCAAAACTGCTGAAGGGTTTGCAAACGAGCCAAATCTGTTTTATATTTGGAACCGATTGAGAAAATTAGTCATCCTGACTCTAACTACTGACAACATAGTGAAAGTGTAACAAAAGTATAGTTATATTGACTTAACAACTTGTATACATTTCAAATAATTTATTCACAGTTCAGACATTTTACAATAACTTCCACAGAAGAAGGGTCCAGCCGAAAAATATCAAAAATTTAGGACACTGGCCGCACAGCGGAGTACAATGGTCAGTTCTGCTCCAGCAGGCCAATATATTCACAGCTCAAAAAACTAGTAAAGAAGGATCCAGCCAATCATTATAAAACTCCGGGTCTGTCTGGCAACCTGTCAGTGGTGGACGTTACCGGGTCCGCTCCAGACAACCTAAAACATTACCATACTACTCTCTATAGCTACCCATTGTTAACTTTGTGTCGAACAGAAACTTCACATTTAATATGTTTGAGTCATAAAAATGATAAAGAGGTTTCAATATGTTACTGCTCTCAGTTTCCAGTTCTTTATCATTATATTTAAATCATTAAGTACTATTAAATTATTCCTATTTTACCATTCCAATATGATGTCTATAATACAACTGCAACAAGCTCCAGCTAGGATCCTAGAGCAAGTTGGTTTAATCAATGGAGATGGAAGTTCTATAAATATGGTCAGTCGTGATATACAATAAACAGACGCCAGGTTTACAGAGAAAGAAGGAATAGAACAGTTATAGTCAAATAGTTTTGGTAAATATCTTCTTTTTTTAATTTTCTGTCTGACTGATAACCTCAACTAAAAGCCAACAGAATACCTTAATATATGTAATCTTTACAATATGTGCAGAGAAATGTCATATGATATTCACTTAAATAATCACCCTGTAATAGTGACCACACACAAGTGTGCCATCTATCTCCTGATTGAAGCCAGGCTTTGGGCTATTTCTGGCCCTGATACCAATAAAGTAGCGGATTTTACCTAGACCAGTTTACAATTGAATTATTGAATTACTAATGCTATTCCCTACTTCTACATCACCTCTGTAGCTTTTGATTTTCAAGCTATGGTTACCAACCCATCATCTGGGTTAGCAACCTCAATATTCCAGGGGTTACGTACGCGTTCACTTACACTCTCTGCACCCCTGGAATACGTCCTAGTAAAATTGAAGACTCAGAGAGCGCCACCTGTGGACGAGACGAGAAGACTCGCTTGGTCATCTGATGTATGTCAAAATCAAGAGAATTTCACAGGTGTGTAACATTAAAATTGACTTGCTTTGAAGGCAGTTGTCACTCCTCTGTAATCATGAATATTAGCCTAGCAATCGGTCATTTTTATTTTACCGGAGACAATAGCTGTGTCAACTGTGCACTTTTTTTGCTATGACATATATATATTCCAGGGTTGCAGAGAACGTAAGTTAAGGTAACCACTGGAGCGTCCAGGATGCTGGGTTAGTAGATTATTTGTATGACATGACTTTTTTCTTTGATGGGGAAGAGACAGTTCAAATACCCACCATCAGATCTCTTTGAAAACTTTGCATATCGTGTTAGCATTTAATGCACACTACAATCACTGTGTTCTTGTAATAACGGAGCATGTCAACCTACTTTCCATACATGGATGGAAGGTTAAATTGTTTATCTCTGTCACTGTGCCAATAAATATGCTGACCAAGCCCATCTATCAGTCCATGTCTTTTGAACACTTATTCTGCAAATAACATGCCTACTTACTTTAGCTTTCACTCGGATCCTCTATGGCTGCGCCAATCCTGAGGCTCTGATCCCGAGCAGCCAACACCGGCCACAAAAATGCAGTCGTGAAAAACAGCACATATCCAAGTGAGAACGCACTTTTATTCAGCCCTCTTGACACGAAGGGCATCGACTGAAAGACAAACAGTTCAACATTTAACAAGAAGGGCACTGACTGAAAGACAAACAGTTCATCATTTAACACGAAGGGCATTGACTGAAAGACAAACTGTTCAACATTTAACATGAAGGGCACTGACTGAAAGACAAACAGTTTAACATTTAACACGAAGGGCACTGACTGAAAGACAAACAGTTTAACATTTAACATGAAGGGCATTGACTGAAAGACAAACAGTTCATCATTTAACACGAAGGGCATTGACTGAAAGACAAACTGTTCAACATTTAACATGAAGGGCACTGACTGAAAGACAAACAGTTTAACATTTAACACGAAGGGCACTGACTGAAAGACAAACAGTTCAATATTTACCATGAAGGGCATTGACTGAAAGACAAACAGTTCATCATTTAACACAAAGGGCATTGACTGAAAGACAAACTGTTCAACATTTAACAGGAAGATCACAAACTGAAAGACGAACAGTTTAACATTTAACATGAAGGGCATTGACTGAAAGACAAACAGTTCATCATTTAACACAAAGGGCATTGACTGAAAGACAAACTGTTCAACATTTAACAGGAAGATCACAAACTGAAAGACGAACAGTTTAACATTTAACATGAAGGGCATTGACTGAAAGACAAACAGTTCAACATTTATCACGAAGGGCATTGACTGAAAGACAAACAGTTCAACATTTAACACGAAGGGCACTGACTGAAAGACAAACAGTTCAACATTTAACACACAAAAAGGGCACTGACTGAAAGACAAACAGTTCAACATTTAACATAACAAGCTGAATGTGAAATCACTCATCTAGCAGGAATAATTTTTGGTTGGCAAAATGACGGGACAATTCAGGAATATAATTATAACTCTTATTACATCTGTGTCGTAATGTTTAGTCAAATCCTAATACTCTACACTTGTATGTTATTTATGGCATGTAGATGATTTTAAAAGGGAAACTTAGTGGAAAAAAGGTCTGTTTTGATGGGCAACATTAAAATGCTTACACATAACTGAAATAGACTAAAGATGTTTAATTTTTGTACCTGTCTTATAGAGTGAGCTCCAATCACGATGCCTCTGAAGTGATATGTATTATCTGTGTATGGTAATCGTATAATGCGCTAGTTTTATGATTCAATTCAGCTAGAAGCTGAAAAACCACTTTAAATGGATGTGTAAACATAACACTAACAGTGAGAAATGCTCTACACATTATAGGATTGATTTAACTACTGGTGCTTAGGTGGCCCCGACAGCTCTGTAAGTCAATGAGGAAACTGACCCTCTGACTTAGAAAATAAATGCCCCCCCCCCAAAAAAAAAGGATCCCTAATCCAGTTAACCATGTTGTCTAAATCTTTGTAAAAATGACAAATTGTATCACCTCCATTGCTTACAGTGTGTTAGCTACGCTATACAGTTTGTATAGTGTACAATGTGTAGCTACTGCTCACCAGTCAGGGGTCGACACTAACGGTAGACCGGAGGACCGGGTCCACCAAAATCTTGGACGGTCCACTTAATCTCCAAAGCTGGTAGACCGCCGGTCCACCACATATTACTTGATTAGTGTATATATATTTGAGAATATTGTTCAGAAATATACTAATAAAGACTTTATTTA